AAAAATAAAATTTTAAATATATTCTTTAAAAAAATTTAAAAGAACACGTTTAAAGTACTTTCCTATACGGTATTATTGTTATTTATTATTTTTGTCTTCATTTGTTTTTTTTTTTTTTTTTTCTGAACAAGGGGAAACGTGAAAAGAGAAAGGGGGTTGCACGTTATAACTTTACATTCTAACCGAAGTTATAAATTTAAGTGCATCCAATGAAAACAACCAATCGATGTTGCGGGTGCCATTTGTACTTAATTTTATATTGGTGGGACGGTAAGTTCTTGATTTATTGTGGTAGGACTTCCCCCAATTTATTCCACCAAAATGACTTTCCCTAATATCACAGATGCCACATGGCTTTTATATTCATTTAATAACAATTACTTTGTTTTTTTCTTTTTAAAGGTTTTCGTTACTGAGTTCTGACCATACCGTCGGTCTGATCAAATATGGCCTGATAAGTTTTAAATTCACGTCTCTATCATTCTACACAGCTAGCCTGAGAAAGAAAAATGTAGAATCATTGCACGAATTGTGCTCATTTTGCACACCATATTAATTTCCAAATTTCCAAACTGTTGCAGAATTGATTCAAGAGTAATAATGGAGCGGATGAAAACGCAGAACAAAAATGTGAGATAATAAGTGATGTAAAAAGGTTAAATTAGTAATTGTATCATATACATTAATCTTGCATCATTTATCATCTTACGCGTTCGTCTGCTGCATCATTACTCTTGATTTAATAGCCTGGACCAGATTGCAAAAAAAAAATATCGGCATTCATGCCTCCACAGCAATAGCTGGGATGGGAGGATGCACAATTGCGCCATGGTCCAGATGATGGTTAAGTCTTCGTAGTGACATTTTCCCTCCCCTTTATTTTCTCATATTCAAATAAATAAAAAATAGAAAAAGGTGTCTGCGTTCATACTTTATTTGTTTCTGTTAGAACATTAAATTAATTAGCATAAATATAATTGATAATACTACTCTTATAGCCACACCCACCATTAGATTGAAAGTGAATTCAGTCAGAACTTTTGGAAATTGGTAAGGCAAGAGAAGGGTGTTAAACAAAAAAAACCTCTACACCATCCTATCTAAACAAAAAAAATGTATTTTTATACGTCATATTGTGGCTAATAAGTTACTTTTTTGTTTTAAAATATTATTATTTTAAGATAAAAAGAGCATTATAATATTTATTAGTCTTTCTAGTTAATTTTAATAAGTTTAATTTTTAATTTAAAATATTTAAATTTAATTATTTAATTTTTTA